ATTAGGAGTTGCTGTTGGAGATTTCATTTTCCTCATGTGGACAGGAGATCTATTCAGAATCCGATCTAGGGTTCAGTTGGGTAATTCTTAATTTCTATCAAAATTTAATTCTTTCTCTATAACTTGGAGTTATATTGAAATGGAAGAAGAAGGTGAAAGCAACAAGTCGGATGGCGAGTACAGTTCAAGTTGGTTTTCAGAACATCAAAATTAGTATGGTGAAATATGACGGTAAAATCAACTTTGGTTTGTGGATGAGCGACATACAGGATGCGCTTAATGCTCAGAACTTAGAGGAGACCATCATGGTCCACGAGGGACCACCAAAATATGAAGAGGCGATATGAGATAAGATGAATAGGAACGCTTGTGGGATGATCAGGTCCTGCTTGGAACAGTAGCTGAAGTATGATGTGATTAGGGTAACGTCTGCAATGAAGATGTGGGAAAATCTTAACAATAAGTACCTTATGAAGAGTGTTAAAAAATAGTTGTACTTGCTGCGTAGGTTAGTCAGATTTCAGATGTCCAGAGGTACCTCACTTGCGGCTCATGTGAATAACTATACAAAGTTATTGTCGGACTTGGCGAATGTTGATGAGAAGATATCGGATGAGTACAAGTCTATTATCTTATTAGACTCCTTACCGGATAAGGAGTATGACACCTTTGTGTTCACTTGTTGAACAGAAGATCTCCTATCAACTATAGTGAAGTTACTAATGCATTGACAAATTATAATTTGAGGAGGAAGGACAAGGAGACTTCCTATGCTAGTACTTCAGGCGAGGCCTTATCGACGAGAGGTAGAAGCCCATATCTAAAAGGTCATAATAGAGGAAGGTCAAAGTCAAGAGGTCATCACCAGCTTGGAAAGAACCAATGTGCATTCTGTAAGGAGCAGAGATATTGGAAAAGAAATTGTCCAAAGATCAAAGAGAAGGAGAATAGCAAGAAAAATGGCCTGAAGGCCAATGAGGTAAATATTGCGAAAGGCGATGATTCCGATGATTTTAGCATTTCTCTTTTGATTACTCTGAAGGTGAACCATATAGATGTATCAGATTGGATGTTTGATTCTGGCGCTACCTATCATGTGACCCCTAGGCGAGATTGGTTTGCATCTTTTGAGAAGCTCGATGGGGGTGTTGTTATCATGGGAAATGATCAATCCTGTGGTATTTGTGGGATAGGTACCGTGCAGATTCGGATGCACGATGGAGTAGTCCATAAATTGAAGGAGGTGAGATTCGTTCCTCAGCTAAAGAAGAATCTTATCTCAGTTGGAGCTTTGGAGGCAAAGAGATTCAAGGTGACCTTTAAAGACGTTGTAGCAAAGGTTACTAAGGGATCTTTGGTGGTGATGAAGAGAATCCACAGTCAAAACTTATATTATCCGAAAAGGAGCATCGAAATTGACCAGGTTGCTTCAGCTTTTTCAGAGGCATACATAAGCAGACTTTGGCATTATAGGTTAGGGCATACAGGAGAGAAGTCACTGCAGGCTTTGTGTAAGCAAAGGCTATTGAAGGGAGCCAAGAGTGGTAAAGTAGAATTCTGTTAGCATTATGTTCTTGGCAAGAAGACGAAGGTGAAGTTTAGGACGGTCATTCATTGGACGAGAGGCATCCTAGACTACATACACACAGACGTTTAGGGTCTTACTAAGACTGCATCACTTGGTGGTTAACATTGATTCGTCACGTTCGTTGATGACTATTCTAGACGATGTTAGGTGTACACCATGGCAAAGAAGAGTAAAGTCCTAGATATATTCGTGGAGTGGAAGAAGAGATTAGAACTGCAGACTGGGAGAAATATCAAAACGTTGTGATCCGATAACGACGACGAGTACACATCAGACCCCTTTCTGCAGCTATGTTGAGACGAGGGCATAGAGAGACACTTCACAGTTAGTCATACACTACAGCAGAATGGGCTGGCAGAGAGGTTAAATCAGTCTTTGCTAGAGAAGATCCGATGTTTATTATTGCAGAGTGGTTTGAAGAAGATCTCACTACTAAAAAATTAGGCATCCTAGACGGAAAATTCCATCTAGGATACACAGAATTCCGTCTAGGATGCGTATCCTAGACGGAATTCCGTCTAGAATACCCGTCTAGAATGTTTTCGTCTAGGATACAGTATTCTAGACAGAAATTCCGTCTAGAATACATCGTAGACGGAATATTCTAGACGGAATTAAAAACCGTCTAGAATACATTCTAGACGGAATATTCTAGACGGAAATTCCGTCTTGATTAAATTATCGTAGACGGAAAAAATTTCCGTCTAGAATAAGTATTCTAGACGGAAATTTCCGTCTAGAATACTCATTCTAGACGGAAATTGATGTTTTTGATTTTTTTTTATTTTTTTTTAAAAAAGACATCCTAGACGGAATTTGAGTATCCTAGACGGAATTTCCGTCTAGGATACTATGCTACAGTATTTTTTTTTTGCTGCTGCTGCTTGGTTAGGAATCTACTTTGTGCATTGAAGAATTAAGCCAAAAAATTACAAATAATGACGTTACTAATTAATTCACAGAAAATAAGTGCAATTCGAATGATACATATTCACCAAAAAAATGCAAACGAACGCGCAATCCGAATGATACACGTTCACAGAAAATACAGCAAGTAGCGTCATTATGGCTGTATTAATTAGCATTACAAAATCAGTCGCATGACAATGAGAAGAATCAAATATACATTAAGAATCCAATTTATTCTCCTATCGTGGTGGATGAAATCCAAACTGCCTACACTTTTGGAACACAGAAAACCTCCACAGCATCAGAAGCTCCAAATGATAAGAATCAAAACCTGGCGCACACAACCAAATCATAAGAATTGTAAGAATAGACATTGGAAATGTAAACAAAATCAAAACCAATGTAGTTGCATAGAGCAGGTTATAGATTGTATCAGCAATAATTAGCATTTAGGCACAGAACTTCAAAAATCACATATTGTATCAGCTGACTTAACTACATAGCTGTTATTGATAAAAACCACCAAGAAATAGAAAGGAAATAATCTTACTCCAAAAAATTGATAGTCAAAAATTAGTGCAAAAACCCGGACACTGGTTGGTCTAGAAAGCCACAAGCTAGCTAAATGCAAGCTGTATACTAGAGGCCAATCAAAGATAGATACTCCCAAGTCCTAATTATAACTCTTGAAACCAATGTTTGCTAGTACTCAGACGGCGGGAAAAAAAAGGGCAGCTATAGGGAATTAAGAAGCTTTACTCACATGTTGCCCTCCTTGATATCGTCATTAGTGTGCTTATATAAGATTGATGCCAAAACATTGTATGAATGTTTAGAATATTTAAACTTACTATCAGGCAGGCATAAGCAAAAGAGGGTTAATTGTGCATAACATATATTGTTTTATACACATTTTTAGCAGATTAAGAATGCTATTTGTCGGACATAAATGGAAAGGTTCTTCACCTTAAGTGCTTAATTGCATATACATACTGTTAGAGAATGATAACTATAACTTTTACATCAAATTTTGGACGTTGTTAAGGGACATCTGGAGGTGAAAGGTTAACTTTAGCTTATAAACACAAGATAAATTTATTTTTTGTATAATAGTGAGACCTATATTCTGAATTTTCTAAATGGGCAGAATTACACTGATGGACAGACGCACATGTATATACAATTACAAATTCCACACTTACAACAGAAGTGTGTTTCAAGGTTCATGATCATAATAACTTTACCTTCCAGTTGTCGTTATGCTAGACTACTACATCATTATCATATCCATCACATTATCAGGAATGGATCCAACAATCACCTAACAAAAAATAGAGACTGTTTTTCAGGAGGCAGAGAAATTAAAGTGTGCAAACTAGATAATTTTCATGACAACAACACTTGCTTTGATATTGACCATCATACATTAGGAGCATTCTCGACTTTAACAATAAACTCACCTACCCTACTTCATCAAGTAAATTCTAGGATGTTGATAAAGCGGAATTGAAAGGGCCTTAATCAATAAATTGTTGCTCTCACATAACATGTAGCGCATTGAGCAAGTAATCCCAAAATTTTACTACCAACAATTACCATGAATATGATATAAAAATCTAATTCCTGCTCGAAGTAGAGTAGGTACCCATCCTGTCAAAACTGTGCTGCATTATGGGGGGAAACTTTCTCAGCTCCCAAATTAAAACACAAGACTTCTAGCAGACAGAAATTAGCACATTGGAACGTTAAACATATGCAACTTTCATAAATTACCGATATGGTTAAAAAGAAAATATAAGATAGTAACTACGAGATAATAAGATATTGCTAATTGCAGATAACTACATACTGCTAAGTTGTATCAAAAGTAAACACTTCAATGATAGATGGGCACATATCCCTTCAAGTATATGAACTTTTAATACAAAATAGCAATCAGAATGTCAAAAGTAATTACAACAGTTGAGACCAACAAAGTGCAGATACTTGTAAAAATTTCTGTGAGAAATTCAAAATACAATTATGAAAATTGCATCATGTTAGTCCCTTTAGAAACTTATTACATTTATTATGCATATTTGAATACTTACTGCTCATGACCGCCAATTTTACGAACGATTTCTTTGTGTCTTACTGATCCTTTTGGACATGGATAGACCTGAAAGAATGCATCAGAGAAGCCCATCATGTAACAAATGTAAGCAGCCTGAAATCACTGGTGTCTAGTAGGTATGTTCACTAGGACTCTAACCTGATAAAAGTTAATAGAAAAAAATGCTGAATATAACTTTGACCATGCATTACTTGAAAAGAAAAATAAACCAAATTCATCATGAATGAGAAATGCATGCCTAAGTTAATGTTCCATAGCTTTGCTAAACATATTCTATATGAATATAAGATGTAAATCTCAACTGCGCAGTTGGTTACCTCTGCAGAAAGATCCAGCTCGGTCATAGCTTCCCGCACTCTTCGACAAAAAGGGCATGCCTCTGTTCAAAAAATTAATGTTAAAAATTTTTGATATTGTATTATTGTATATGAAACATGACAAGGACTCATGAAATGTCTAAACAGGAGTGATCTGTTCGCCGCCAGCTCTGCTACTTCGAGGAGCTTCAGGGACCCGAAGGTGGGCGGACTCAACTCGCCCGAGAGGGAGTTCGACCGCAGGGCGAGGACTATCAGGTTCGTGGGCAGAGCGGCCGGGAACCGGAGCCGGAGAGCGGGTTGAAGCTGAGGGTCAGAGCGAGCGCAGAAGGGTGGCACAGGGTTCTAGGGGGGGAAGGCAGGATCTCGCCGGAGAGCTGGTGTGGCTGGAGGTCCCAAGGTCTCGATTGGCCGGCGGAAGCGGCGAAGGAGGCTGGGATCCCGCCGGAGAATGGAAGTTGAGGTGAGGGAGGGGGATGGGCCGCGGAAGCTGTTGTCGCGTAGGAGGTCGAGGTGGGCCAGGACGAGAGGGAGGAGAGGCGGGGGAGAGCTACGGCCGAGGTAGCCGGTCGGGGTCGAGGTTGATGGAGGAGACGCGGGCGGTGGTTGCGGTGGCAGGTTAGGGTTTGGGTTCTGTAGGGAGAAGGCGTATGTGGGGAGGAGAAGGAGCGGAGGGGAAGAAGCAATTCCGCTTCACGGTAGGTGGGAAAGGCCTCAGTTTTGGGGGATGGAGGATTTGATGGACGATTGGAGTTTTGAAGTTGAGGATTTTTTGGGGTTTGGGGGGGGGGCGGTGTGTGTGTGTGTGGAGGAAAATTTTTGATTTGGGGACAAAAATTTGGATTTTGCGGGGAAGGAGGCAGCCGGGGGTTTTGACGGATTAAATTTTTTTTTTAAAATGGGCACGTATCCTAGACGGAAATTTCCATCTAGAATACATTCTAGACGGAAATTTCCATCTAGGATACCAGGATTTTTTTTTAAAAAAATTTTTAAAAAAATTCCATCTAGAATACTATTCTAGACGGAAATTTCCGTCTAGAATGTTTTATCCTAGACGGAATATTCTAGACGGAAATTTTCCGTCTAGTTTAATACATTCTAGACAGAAATTTTTCCGTCTAGAATATTCCGTCTAGGATACGTGAATTTTTACTAGTGTCTTTTGGGATAAGACACTTACATATGTGAGTCACCTCATTAATAGGCTACCTTCATCTACGATTAAGGGGAAGACCCATATGGAGATATGGTTGGGAGAGCCATCATATAATTATGAGCAGCTCAAGATATTTGGGTGCCCTACATTTTATCATATAAGAATAGATAAATTGGAACCTCGAGCTAGGAAGACCATATTTGTAGGATTCAAGAGTGGTGTCAAGGGATACAAGCTATGGGATCCGGTTGATAGAAAGATAGTGCTAAGTAGGGACATCACATTTGATGAGGCTTCTATATTAAAGCTTCCCAGCTCTCATTAGGTAGAGAGTAACCCGACAGAGGAGATATCGCAGGTGGTGGAGATCGATGCAGCTCCACAATGTCCAGATGGTGCAGTATCCATTAGAGTGCCGACTGAGGTGACACCAGGCGAGCACGACGGTGACACGGAGGATACGGGTACTGATGTACAGGATCATGGACCAACGGCTCAGGTTTAGAATTTTATTGCGGTTCGGAGATAGAGGAGAGACATACGGATACCAACACGGTCTGTCGACACAGTTACGTATGCACTTCCGGTGGAGAGTATCGATGAGATGGTGCCTACTATATTCAGAGAGGCCGAGCAGAGTTCGGTGGCTGATTCATGGCAGGTAGCTATGTAGGAGGAGATGGAGTCTCTTCACAAGAATGATACGTCAGAGCTTGTTAAACTTCCAAAGGGGCGGAAGGTAATTGGTTGCAAGTGAGTATACACGAAGAAGGAGGGCATTAAGGGCACTCCATTGAGGTTCAAGGCTAGGTTGGTTGCGAAGGGCTATGCACAGGAGGAAGGAATAGATTATAATGAGATTTTCTCTCCGATGGTAAATCATTCTTCGATTCGGATTTTGCTTACTTTGGTGGCACAGTATGGTTTGGAGTTAGATCAGTTGGATGTGAAGACAGCATTTCTTCATGGAGATCTTAATGAAGAAATATATATGACTCAATCATTGAGATTCTGAGCTGCAGGGAAAGATATGTTGGTTTGCAGGTTGAAGAAATTGATATACTGTTTGAAACAGTCTCCTAGACAATGGTATAGGTGATTCGATGGTTTTATGATTGGTCATTCGTACACTCGGAGCCAGTTTGATCCTTACGTATATTTTCACAAGTTGAAAGGAGGTGCGTACATCTATTTGTTACTTTATATTGATGACATGTTGGTTGCCTCTATTTCTAGATATGTTATAGATGAGTTGAAGGCACAACTTTCAAAGGAGTTTGAGATGAAGGATTTGGGTAAGGCGAAGTACATTTTAGGGATGGAGATCAGCATAGACAAGAAAAATGGCAAAATTTGTTTAACACAGGTGGCTTATCTGAAGAAGGTTCTACAGCGATTTCATGTTAGCATGGATACCAAGCCAGTTAGTGTACCTTTGGGAGCCCATTTAAAACTTTCCTTTCACCAAAGATAGTTGAAGATAGAGAGTTGATGTCGAAGACTCTATATGTGAGTGTAGTTGGGAGCTTGATGTATGCAATGGTATGAGACTTGTCACAGGCGATGAGCATGGCATCGAGATACATGCAAGATCCAGGAATGGGTCATTGGGACGTCGTGAGATGAATTTTGAGGTACATTCGAGGTACGCTCAATGTTAGTTTGGTTTATGAGCGGGACACTACAGGTGGGTAGTTATGCATTGGTTATGGTGATTCGGATTATGCTGGGGATTTGGATAAGCAACGGTCTATGACAGGATATGTGTTTACTTTGACCCGTGCGTCGGTGTGTTGGAGATGTACCTTACAATCGACGGTGGCTTTGTCTACGACAAAGGCAGAGTATATGATGATTACAGAGGCTGTGAAGGAGGCTATTTAGCTTCGAGGACTTTTTGAGGAACTTGGTATATCGCAGCGATCCGTCACTATTCATTGTGATAGCATGAGTACTATCTATTTTGCGAAGAATTAGGACTTTTTCAGGACTTTTTGAGGAACTTGGTATTGACGTTCGTTATCACTTCGTTCAGGATGTTCTTGAAGATGGTAAATCGGAACTTATGAAGTTCCACACGAAGGATAATTCGGCGGATATGCTCACTAAGGTGGTTCCAAACAACAAGTTTGATCTTTGTAGAAGCTTGTTGCATATTCGTGATTGTTGAAGCTGTTGACGGTCATTTGGATGAACTACGTGAGGCTTGATTCCTTGGGCAAGAGGATACGTAAGCAGTCTTTACAATGCAGCCGGGTTTGCATTAGTTGATGGGGGTGAGATTGTTTGGACTCTTGTTCGGGTTCTTGACTTGTTGTGGATTGAGTCCGTTATCGTGAATGAACTTCATGGCATACTGGACACAAGTGGGACATTTGGATACTTTGGTATCGGCTTAGTTTTGGGAAAACTTCACCGGGTTTGCTTAGTCTGCCTGGCCAATTCTCCTGAACTTCCTGCTGCTTCTCTTGCCACTTTTTCATCTTGTTGTGCTGCCGAAGTACTGCCGAAATTTCTGCTGTGCGCAACAATATATAGGCGTGCTTGAGATCCAAAAAACATAGAAGAGTGACAAATAGAAATCATCCAATTAGGAAAATGGAATTAACAAATGAAAAAGGCTAAACACTAACCATGTTTTTGAGTGTCACACAAATCCCTGGAAAAGTTTTTTAGGAGAATGCACTCAGCTCGGCATCGGAGAGCAACGCAACAATGTTTTTTTATCCATTTATATGCATAAAAGTTAGGAATAATTTGGGATCCTCTAATCTCGTTAAATCAAAACTACAATATCTAATTAGTTTTAATTTTAATTTGAGAAACGAAAGTATAAAAAACATTTGGACCCAAAAAAGATAGAGAGGGGAGGGAATAGGCGATTTGCAAGGTGATTGGATAGGTGACAAGGTGTATCATCATCCCAGGCGGCGCTTAGGGTTCCAAGACGGCGTCTCGTCACTTTTGAGAATGGTAAACTCACTGTCTCCCCCTCTTCCTCAGTCTCTCCGCCCTCTTTCTCCTCTCCAACCCCTCCAGATTTGCCCTCTCTCGCTAAACCTCAAAACCCTAAAAAATCTTTCTCCTTCCATCTTCCCCCTCACCACATCCCTACCAAAAAACCCTCTTTTGCTGACTTGTTCAAGAGATCCAAGGTCCAGAGTGTCTCCTCATCTAAAGGAATCCTTCCTCTTCCTGAAGAAGGATGGACCAGAGTTTCACACAGAAAGAGGTTTAAAAGGCCGAGATCTGTTTCCTCTTTCCCCCCTAATCTCTCAACCCTCAAACCGGCCAGGTGCTTCCTCTGTGGAAATAGGGATCACATGGCTAAACAATGTTCCTTAGGGGATTTTAAGTGCTTTGCATGTAATCTGGTAGGGCATACCTCTCTGAACTGCCCTAATAAAGGCAAGCCTTCTGTCCACAGTATCATTCCCCCTTCCCCCAAAGCCCCTCTCATCCATCCCCCTCCTCTTTTTCTACCAAATATTCCTCTTCCCGAATCGGTTGTTAGTAGCATGGATGATTTTGCCTTTTATGCTTTCTTCCAGATCCAAGTAGGTAACCCCTCTTTTAAGGAGCTTATCAAAAACCTAGAATTTCATCTGAAAGTTGACAAATGGTCTACCGCAATCAGGAAGTCCTCTCCCTCCTCCTATTTCATTCAGTTCCCAGATGTAGAAACCATGGATTATGCCTATTCCAAATCTTTCTTTAGTATGGGGAACTTCGGAGGGGTTTTCTCCCCTTGGTCGGAGAAGTCAGGTCTAAAAGCTCTGCCGAAGTTTGTTTATGTCTGGGTGGAAATCCTCAATCTCCCCATTCACCTCTGGGATTCTGAGTTTTTGTCATCTCTGCTGGGTGAAGTTAGAGAAGTTCTCTCAGTGTCAAATGATGTAGTTTTTAAGAGAGAG